AGATTCAAAATATAAAGAAACAACATTACACCAACTAAAAATAATTTTAACTTTGTTATACAATGTAATTTTTTGACAAATCAAACCTCTTGCACCCCTAGCTTCGCCCCCTACGGAGCATAGGAAGGTTGAAGCAATGATTGAAAGGATGACCCTTATGGCTCCATAACGCTAGAAGAAGTTTCTGCCAATCCAATCAAGTGAAATGTTCTCATCTACAACAACTTAAGGACCCCTCAACTTTCATTATGTGACAGAGATATATGTACGACACAACTTATAAATCAGTGAGCAAACACTACCAATTTGAAGACAAAAAACAGAGTTTATGCCGAACCCACAAACTATACGACGTTTTTATCGAATCATTTTTTATTTTAGGAATTTGATTTTTTCTGTCATTTGTAGACAACGGGTTAATACAGAATACAAGTGTCTGATTTCAACCATTAGAAGCATTGTCGATCACTGTTTTGACAAAAACATGATATTAACTAAAGTACGTATTGTTTTAATCAAAGTTTTGTGTCCATAAATCTGTGGATAACTATGGACCTACAGGCAACACATTTAATTAGTAGAACATCAATCTGCTGCCAAAGATTTGAATAATCAACGGATAATATGAATATTCGTACTATTCATGGTTTTAGAAATAGTCAAGTGAGAACACAAGTCAAAAGTCAAGAAAAATAACAAGCAGACAAATGAGTATTCATAATATGAATATCTATATTTGATAAATTTTCAAATAATCATTGTCCGACTCATATTCCATGGATTAAATTAAATGATTACTTGTTGTTTTTTTTAAAAAAAAACACCATGGATTCAAATGAAAGAGTGGTCACGTGACGAAGCACACAAGACGAACAGAAAGTGCAAATGTAGTGCCGTTGGGTCAGTTTAGAAAGTGGGCAGTACGTACCACTAAACATGGAAGTGAATAAAATGATTGTAACGGCATTATATATATTAAAAAAACACACAATTCAATATATTAATTAAAAAAAAAAACACTTATATCATATTACTATAACTCACCTTCTTTCATTAATTTTTCTTTTGACTACCCTTCCATGGAGAAAATATATTAAGTTCGTATGTCAAATATTACTCTTTATTGCATTATATTTGAAACACTTATTACAATATTCCTAGCGAAATTTATGATTTTTGCAAAAGGGATAAAGTAACCCCAGCAGAAAAGATTCCCACCAACTTAGGAAATCCATGAAGGTCACTTTACATTCTTGCTATTTCCATAACATTTGTACGTTCCTGCGCATAACTGCTTGTGCTCTACCATGTCACCCATGAGTAATTTAGTGAACCTCATAGTGTCATAGTTGCTTAATTATATCATCTACGTTAATTATATATTTGTCTCAATAAGTCGTAAAACTTCTGTTCTGTTTCAATTGAGGTTGATATGTATAATTTTAAAAATGTCATATTTTATGTAACTGTCTAATATGACACTTTACTATGTTCAGATATTCAATTGGAACAAGTTGTAGTTTGAATGTCTAAATTAAATTTACTAATAAATTTAAGGGCTATCGGCGTATTAAACCTACTTTTTAAATCCATGAATGCATGAAATATTTAATAATTTATCAACAAATTCATCTACCAATTCAAATTCAAAAGAATTTTTTTTTTCAACAAACTAGCCATGTTTAGGATTTTTTACCATTTTTTTGTGTTTATTTTAGAAAAAAGTTATAAGAAGAAGGGAAACTTACATAAATATACTATATTAAAAAAATATTTACCATTTATAGCAATAACATTTTTTTTCACTTGATCACTTTTAATTCATTTATAATGCAGTTTTAATACATATTACAAAGAAGAATTTATTATTCACATATAATACAAGTTTTATTGATGGTTAATACATTTATCACACATTTTAATACACTTATAATACAATGTGTCAATTTCTTACCAAACAAACATAATATATTTTTAAAAAACAATTATAATACATATATATTGCATACATAATTCACTTTTAATACATATTGCAGATTTAACATAGTATTGATATGTATTGCTATAAATGGTAATAAATAAAAAATATCGCTAAAATCAATAATTATTTATTAAAAAATATCAATCCATGTAATTTTTCCTAAGAAGAAATGTTGGTCCACAACTCCACATCCTAAGAGATTGTGGGTTGGACCGAGCTCATCTTTGGGCCCAATATCTGGGTGTGCTCTCCCTAAGTGGGCTTGTCTGAGAAGGCCCAGCTTACTTGACATGCATACTGTAAGCCCAAATTTAGAAGTGATTCAAAATTATAACGCAAGATCTAGATAGCTAGATGGTTATATTGCTACTTCTGTTTTTCAGCTGGTATATAAATTGCAATGGTGACTGCACCTAGGGGGGGAGCTAGAAAGGTTCAAGAGTTTATGTATATGTAGTACATGTTGAACCCTCGATGCATCAACCAATTCCAAAAACAGGACATATCATCATAACAAATAAAAACGAAAACAGGACATATCATAACAAATAAAAACAAGTAAAGGACAAGTCTTTAACTCAATATAGAGTTGGTGTGACCCAAATTGGAGGACAAACACGACTCATGGAACGATCCTCGTAATGAGGCTGAATACTGCCATCTGCTAAGCTGAACACCCCCATGTCCGAGCCCCCTCCCTCTTCATAGTTAAGGTATATTTTCCAAAAATCGTCCGTAAAATAGATATGATTGGACTTGATTCCTGGAAATTGAGAAGCTTGGACCGATAGAGAAGCACTATGACCAACAAAAAATGCTCTGTCCCCTAATTCCCTGGTTTCCGTCACTTTGCCGCCAGCTAAATCAACCTGGAAAACTCGAAAACTTATTGTTCCATATATATAGTTATCTTCAAATCGGATGTCGTCCAATGATAACCTTAACTTGTGGTCCTCCCTTAATTCGACGACCCCATATCGTGCAACTACAAATAATGATCCTAGTGATTCTAGGATGTATAAATGGTTTTCGTGGCCTATAGCATCTTCTAACTGCGCTATGACATTTCTAGTGGGTTGAGAGCTAGCAACATCATGAACTAGGACACGACCCCAATAACCCACGGAATAAAAGTGCCCATTAAAATATGTCACGTCAACATGTTCAGGTTCATCCCAGATAATCCTGTTCCATCTCAAATCTCCTGGTCTCCAAAAACTGAGGTTATTACTGAGTCCCTCAGGGACCATAACCATAAGAACATAGTCGGATGTATGAGAAGGACTAGCTGATAGAACTGCTTTGCTAAAAAACGTCCACAACTCTGCTGTCCGGTCATGCTCATAATTTTCCATGGTATTTGGATGGGGCAATTCAATCTCAACACCAGAGAAGGGATGTAACAGACTAATTTCACCCGCATCTTTTCCGACTGTGATAAGCCAACCCATAGACTCCATACAACGTTTTCCGCTAGCCTTTGGAATCTTCTTCTTCAAAATCATGCCATTATAGAGACTGAAGAATTTTCGACATGAGCAAGTTCCCTCTTCAGCTAACATAAGCCATGGAATTCTAGGCAGGTCATTGTTGAAATTGTCCTTGGTAGTTACAGAGTGCCACGATTTGCAAACAATGCCGAAATTTAGGTAGTTTTCAATCAGATTGAAACGTCTAGCTATGAGAACCAACAGGTCGTATGGAAGCTTCGACCAATCAGCAGACATCTTGCTGGACAGTTGATCTAGAAATCAGCACACACCAAAGGTATTCTTATAGGAAATCCTCCTTCGGACAGAGTCCCAAGTACATGTGGAATCCTAATCAATTGATCTAGAAATTATTTATCAATAGATCTTTTTGCCAAAAATATACTTGAAACTATACTTCCAACTTAAACTATACTTCTTAACAGAAAACATTCCCAAGCATTTAAAACTTAACTTCTATCGTTCTTTTAAAATTTATCAAAAACATAACAAATTTCACACAAAAACATGTGCAGCTCACATTAGCAATAGAAAAAATCTATTTAGGGGGATAACATGACCCTAGTTAAGTGTAAGTGTGTAACTGAAATTTTGGAAATAGCTCGAGGTGATACATGTGCTTTGTTCTTATATTTTTAAAATATTTTGAATTAACAATTATGGTAACTTATAGTATTTTTTACGTAGCTTTTAAATATGTACTTTTTATTTAATAAACATAAAACCTTCATTCCCAAATTCACGATCAAAATTAAATTATTTGACTCTTGAAGTATGAAACAAAAATTAAAACATCATAAGTAATAAAATATCATTTGAGAGATTCTTCAAGGGAAGTGTTAGAGAGTTTCTATTGGCTATATATAAGAATGAACAGGTCTATAATGAATAATTCTAAGACAGGCCCCGCGTCCTTTCTTAAGAGATGGAGCAACCGTCACTCGACAACTCAAAACTGACCAGTACAAAATCATGTGATCCATCCTCGTTTACGTACCCCAAATATCAAGTTATATCATGAGAATAATCTCTCATAAGCTAGTTTTTGGGAATAAACGACGTCGAATATCAAGTTATATCATGAGAACAATCTATGACACAGGCCCCTGCGTCCTTTATGGAGCAATCGTCACTCGACAACTTTCTTAAGAGATAGAGCAATCGTCACTCGACAACTTTCTTAAGAGATGGAGCAATCGTCACTCAAAATTGACCAGTACAAAACAATGTGATTTGTCCTCGTTTACGTACCCCAAATATCAAGTTATATCATGAGAACAATCTCTCATAAGCTAGTTTTTGGGAATAAACGACGTCGAATATCAAGTTATATAATGAGAACAATCTATCAAGAGACAGACGCATCTCAATTCTTGTTATAGCCTATAAGATTAGTACATTACATAACATCCACAGGGGAAAAAACATTTAGGTACATTGTCACTAATATTTCTTTTAATACAAAAGTTGCAACATGATAACATACCTAGTTATTCTACTTACACTAACATTCCATTTTTCCAGCATCCCTAGCATCCTTGTGCTCAAGGTTAACTTATTAACTGTACAAGTCGTCCTCGTCTCCAGCAGCATTAACAGAAGCGAATGGATCGGCTGTTGCCCCGGTTGGTGTAGCATTAGCTGCATGCTCTGCAAATTTGAACTCAGTTCCAAGTCCCCGTGATTGTTGTAATGTTTGAGCAAAAAGCTGGTACTTCCTAATGTCAGCATCACTCACACTTCTTCGAGCATATTTCATGGACTCCTCAAAGTGTGCAGCCTTTATTTCAGCCACTTCATCAGTGTCATCTTCATCCATGGCTTCAGGGTTCACGCTCCTCTTCCTCTCTCGCTCAATATCCTGTCATTCACCAATCAAAGATGAGTAAAATTCATCTATTACAAAATCGGGAAAAAAAAGGAAATGACCGACGGAGCAACAATTGACATATTGAAATACCATCACTAATGTTCACCAGCATTTGCAATTTGCATCTAACTTCTTAAAGGAATTCCAACATATTAATGTGCAAAAGGAGCATCTCTTACCTTTTCAATGTTTTCCCTAATGGCGTATTTGCATGCTCGCTGACAAATCTCAGTTATGTCTGCACCACTAAAAGCACGTGTATAACGTGATAGAGCTGACAGATCTACGTCCTTTGCGACGGGGGACTTACGCAAACATGCTTTGAAGATTTGAAGACGGGAAGCTTCATCTGGGAGGGGGATGTAAATTAGTTGGTCTAGACGACCTGGTCTGAGCAATGCAGGGTCAATAATGTCTGGCCTATTTGTTGCCCCAATAATGAAAACTGTTTTCTTTGCTGTCATTCCATCCATCTCCGTTAACAATTGATTGAGTACTCTATCAGCAGCACCACCAGCATCTCCCACTGAATTTCCTCTCTAAAAGAGGGACATATGCAACAAAAGTTGGATCAAGAAGATATAAAATTGTGACAGAAATGAAGAGACAACTCTACATCAGGCTCAGGTTTTTGAGGTAGTACCTGTGTAGCAATGGAATCGAGTTCATCAAAGAACAGTACACATGGAGCAGATTGCCGTGCCTTGTCAAATATTTCCCGAACATTTGCTTCACTTTCTCCAAACCACATCGTGAGCAACTCCGGTCCTTTCACACTTATAAAGTTAGCCTGACACTCATTTGCAATAGCTTTGGCCAGTAAAGTTTTGCCACAACCAGGTGGTCCATAGAAAAGTACCCCTTTAGAGGGTGACATTCCAAACTTCTCAAACTTCTCAGGATGCTCAACCGGATACTGAACAGTCTGCCGCAAGCAAAGTGGATTTTCAAGTAAGAACAGTAGAAGATGCAAATGAGGGAATTTAAACACCATCTCCACCCCAACGAGAAGAGTCTTTTTTCTTTACTTCGGAGCTGAAACTATTAACCTAAACTAGTGACTTGTTAGGCTCTTATCAATAGGAACAATTATCAAGTTTTTCTTTTTTGTCCAAGTTTTGGACAAACAATATATACAGATGACGATGGAACCATCAACAACACCTAAGAAGTCCGTAATGGAATCAAAATTTTCAATTACATGCCTCTTAATTTTGTAATCACATACCTCTTGAAGTTCCCGCTTGACATTTTCCAGCCCCCCAATATCCTCCCAAGAGGTATTGGGAACCTCCACTACCTGAAAACCAGGAGATTCAGTCACTGAGAAGTACCAAAAGGAAACATAAACATTGAAAGACAACGAACAGTTAACTCCTACTTGAAGGAAGGCTTCAATTAGGAATAGATAAAACTCACCGTTTCTCGTAGTGCTGATGGATTTGAAGCACCCAGAGCAGTTTGAAAATGCTCATTAGTCACAGCCATTGAATTCAACACTTCAGCATCGATGGTCTCATCCTCCAAGTCAATAACATCCATTTTCTCCCTGATACACTGCAGCGCAGCCTCAGTGCACAAGGCAGCAAGATCAGCTCCGACATAACCATGTGTATCTCTTGCAACCCTCTCTAGATCAACCTGACAGCATCAACAAAAAAAATTGATAGAACTGCTCATAATTGAAAAACTAGGTAAACATAGCAAGCAACAAGAACAAGCAGAAAGCAGCTCACATTATCATCAAGCTTCATGTTTTTAGTATGAATCCGTAGGATCTCCAGCCGCCCTATTTCATCTGGTACGCCAATGTCAATCTCCCGATCAAATCTTCCAAATCTCCTGAGAGCAGGATCAATACTGTTTGGTCTGTTGGTAGCCCCCATGACAATCACATGTGATCGAGACTTGAGCCCATCCATTAATGTCAGAAGTTGGGAAACTATTCGCCGCTCAACTTCACCATGTGTCTTTTCTCTCTTTGGAGCAATCGAGTCTAACTCATCAATAAATATAATAGATGGCGCATTCTTTTCGGCTTCCTCAAATGCCTTCCTCAAGTTACCCTCACTCTCACCAGCCAATTTGGACATAATTTCAGGCCCATTAATCAAAAAGAAAAAGGCACCAGTCTCATTTGCCACAGCTCTTCCAATCAGGGTTTTCCCCGATCCTGGAGGACCATACAGGAGAATACCTTTCGGTGGCTTCACACCAATTGACTTGAACAACTGTGGATGCCTCAGAGGGAGTTCAACCAGCTCACGAATCTGAGCCATTTGCTTCCTCATACCCCCAACATCATCATATCCAACTTCATTTAGTCTCTCCTCGTCTTCACGCTTGATTGGTTCTCCCTCACAAAAGATCTCTGTATCAGGTGCAACAACACAATATTCTCCCGGCTCTGTCTCAACCACTTTAAATTCAACACTTCGCATGCCACCTCTGACTACAAAGAGATCGCCCTTCCTCACAGGGCGGTAAGACTCCAAGAAGTATGCTGGTATGTCAACAATGGCACATGCAAACAGATTTTTAAGACTGTTAAATGAGATATGAGATAATCTAGATAATGAAAAGAGAAAACGGTCAAAAACACACCTGAGATACTTCATTGCAAGTTTCATATCTAAACTATCAGTTGTTCGTATTTCCTACCCTAACACCACTATTTATCAAAATACATTTCGAAGTTGACTAGACCAAGTGTTCGAATACAATCACTAAACGCGCGTGACAACTTAATTTGTCATAAAAGAAGTTCATCAACATGGCAGCTGACTCAAGTTAAGGAGGAAAATTAAAGGTGTTTTTGAGCATTATCTCTAACGAAAATGACGAGGATATTGAGCATGGAAGAAATCAAAAATCGAGGCGCTTACGCTTCAAGTAGGCATCAAACAGGTTGCCAGTGATCCCCTCAATTGTATCATCAATTGGAAGAATATGAACACGCTTCGCATACTTAACATCAGGACACTGGTGTACAGATACAACATCTCCAAGACGAATCCTAAGATTAGCTCGAACAACTTTGTTCAATCTGATCTTATGTTCTTCACATTGCTCATCCGCAAGGACTACACAAACAGTGTCCTTCCGTTTTTTACCCTACAATACAAGTTTCCCTTAACTTTCTTTCTTAAATATCAGAGTCTCATCACGTTACAATAAACAAAATTAATTAAGGAAAAGAAGAGAATTGAATAAATTCAAACCTTTAGCAATACAGTATCTCCTCTAAAGAACTGGAGCTCTTCCATTTTAGCAGGGTGCATAGATACCACGGAATTATCATCACTTATGGCCTCATCAACAATAAGGCGGTTAGGAGATTTCTTCCTCTCCAAAATTGCAGTAGCAAAATCTTTTTTATTGTTTTTCCTAAAATTGAAACAGTCATCAAATTCAGTAAATCAAACTTGTGATCACAGAAACATAAAAGCAGCTACTTATTTAATTTTTATAAAATAGAACATACGAGTCGGAAGTGGAAGAGTTCGGGTCCGCCATGAGAGAGTAGTATTTTACAGAGGTTTAGAAATGGGTGTAGAAACTAAAAGTTGCAGAAGCACAAGGAAAAGGACAAAGTTGGCAAGAGCAATATTGTATACTTGTCCTTTCAACACATAATTGATCACCTGTCCGCTCATAGTTTTTGTTTTCTTTTTTTCTCTTTTGACACGTCTGTGCAAATTGGATAACGATTAACATGTCGCATTTGAGAGCTAAGTTATTCAGTATTCAATTTTTATAAATATATATCATATTTGACAATATTATTTTGATGGGTGCAACAATCAACACACTCAATATGATTTGTAATTTATTAAAATCTACATTGCTATTATATATTAATTAAGTTATAGGAGAATTTATATATCAGTTTTACGAAAAATTGAAGATAAAATAGCTATATACTATAGTCTATATAGATAGACATTCATATCAAGTTGAAATGTTTAAAATATAAGACATTTATATCAAGTTGAAATGTTTAAATAGTCTCTTAATATGCTATCAAATAATTTATACAAATGTTTAGAGCCATCAATATGGGCTAGGTCCGTTGGGCCGACTTGACCTAACCCGTGGTTTGATAGGGTTTGGCTATGATTTTTGGAGCCCGTTTAAGAAAATGGCTTGAGAAATATGAATAGGGTTGGCTCGTGGGTCAAATAAAATTAATTAAAATAAAAAATAAAAAATAAAATAGAGTATTAAAAATAACAAGAGTCTGAACTCAAAATATGTTTCAAGTTTGAAATATTACAATTTAAACACAAATTATGTTTATAAAATATGTACTACATAAAATAAAAATTCCCTAAAATTTCTAGGTAATCACTACATAGGTCATGGTCACTCATAGCCTACGAAATATTGTCATAGTTTTTGTGTTTTATTATGATAGTTGGAAAACAATTAGGCTAATATTTCTATTTAGCTATTTATGCATTTACTTGAAATGAAACTTAATAAATATTATAAAGATAATTTTATTTGTGTATACGATTAACAAGTAGTAACACTAACACCATGTAATATTGTCTTGTCGATATTTATGATAATATTTTTAAATTATAATTTTATTTTAAAAATTATAAGAAATAGGGCAAACCACATAAATCCCACTAGTTTAGGTCTTAATTATTAAGTTTCTCAATAGTTTCAAATATTACTTCTTGTACCATATTTTATGCTTAGGATACATGAGTCTAAATCCATGAGATACATGCAGTATCTGCCGAATTTTAAAATTGAGATACAAAATTTATTTATTAAATTAATTGGTTGGAACCGATTTCCTTAATTAGAGGAGTAATTGAGGATTTTCAAAATACATAGATAATTAATTTCATTTTATTATTCTTTGGAATAGTAAATTCATTAATATTATTAATATAAGATAAAAACATGTATATCTTAATGCAATTTGATTTATTTCAAATTATTACTCTTAAAATAATAAATTCATTAATTTGATGTATCTATATCAATATATGATGTATCCAACAAACTAAACACTTAGATACATGAGTGTCCTGCAAGTACATTCATATGTATCATAGAAGTATCTAGCATTAATTTCATGTATTTGTTATAGGTATCTAGTATTAATTTTATGTATCTATTTATATATATATAATATTAATTTCATGTATCTTTTATATGTATATAGTACTAATTTGATGTATCAAGTATCAATTGCATATGTTATATCCAAAAACATGTATCTCGAATACATAGTAAGCATATACATCTAATTATGTGTATCTAAATATGGAATATACATAAAGAAGAAGCATATACATCTAATTATGTGTATTTAAATTTCATACGTTATATCCAAAAACATGTATCTCGAATACATAATAAGCATATACATTTACTTATGTGTATCTAAATATGAAATGTAGTTGAATCACATGAATTTAGGAACAAATCACGACTGTAGAGTATCTGTCGTATCATTAATATCATCGTGTTGTTAAAAATCATGTATCCAAAATTTAATGGTGGATACATATACATGGTCAGACACCCCATTACTAAAAATACAACTCAGATCTTAATTAAGATTACTACTTATTGGATACACATGTTTCAAGGGCTATATCAAAGTAATATTGATACTATCAAATCCATGTCACGGTAACCAAAGAAAGCCTTAGAAGAACACCAGCAAACAAAAACTCTCTACAATACTCCCTTTGATTCTTTTGCGTTGTGGCATAACATAATCAAAACTAAGATCCATTTCTTCCGGAGACAAACAATCAAGACCTACTCTGAATTAAAGTTTTCTCTGTAGCAGTTACTTTGATTTGATCTAGTTATAAATGAACAATACAAAATAATATTTGGGTTCAGGAGAATTTGTCGGCCATGGTGATGATATCTTGAGAAGAAGAGAGTAGATTAGCTATTGTTGGAATGAAATTGTACGATGAAATTCCTGAATCATAAAAGAGGAGACATAATTGAGTGATAAATATGGGAGAGGAGAATTAAGAGATAGTGGTTGATTTGGATTGAAAGAGTTAATTAAGCAGATAATTAATCAATCATAGTTTTAAAGTATGTGGGTATCTAATAATCTCATTGTATCTTCAAATAATATATTAATATATGGTATAAAATATTAAAAGTGGTAATATATGTAATTGTTTGAAAGTAAAGATAATATTAGTATATATAGTAGTGATGTATGTCTAATAAGGTAGTTTATCCTAAGAAATATACTTTTAAGAAAAGAGGGTTGGCCCGGAAAAGCCCGTAGCCCACGTACTTGTGGGTTGTGTCGACCATTTTCTGGCCCACATAAAAAAAGGGTAGCCCGACCTGACCCGTCAAATTTTAAAGCATATATGAATTAGCCCGGATGGAATGGGTCAGCCCATATTGACAAATCTACCAAAATTAATGTGTCGTGTTTGAATCAGCCATTACGAGTATACCTTGCTACAAAAATTGAGCAGGGACGCTAAAAGTGCTAATAAGTAGTTCATCCGTTCCAATTTAATTTTTATTTTAAATTTTTTGAAATTAAAAAAAAAAGATTTAAATTTATAATCTCAAATTAAAAATATATGTAGTTATTTAATATTATGGTCACAATTTTTAAACTTTTCATATAGAATATTAAAATTGAAAAACTTACCATACTTTGACTAGTGCTTTTAGTTTCACTATTTTTCAAGTTTCTTACGCAGTAACTTTTCTTTTTAGGATTCTACTTTAGTTCCATTCAAAAGTTCCCATGTGACTTGGGAAATAATTTTTTTTTAATATTTAGCCTTCTTTTTAGAAGGATGAGTTCTAATATATTCAGTCTTTTAATTCCTTTTTGATTTAGGTAAAACTTAGTAGGATCAAACTTTTTATGGAAAATAATTACTTATGAAATAGTATCCAACAGTACAAATATTTGAAAATTTGCCAACCCTATATAACTTTATGGGAATATTTAAGTACTAGGGCAAATCTCTCTTTTTGTGCACAATGATGGAGAAGCTTGGTCATGAAGACATAACATCGGAGATTATATCATGGCTTCCAGCCAAATCTATCATGCGATTCAAGTGTATTTGTAAAGCTTGGAATACTTGGATAGAACAGCCCAACTTCCCCAAATTGCACCAAGCCCGTTCTCAAGCCCGTCCCTCTGGCACCCGCCTTTTGTTTGAACTGTATCCATGTGAACCGCGTCCACATCGACATCCGCTTGATTATAAGATTGGCTTTCGTTCAAAAAAGCAAAGACGATTAGAAAGATATTCTTTAGAATTCACAACACGTTTCTACATTGAAGATATGTTTATATGCTCAAATCATTGCAATGGCCTTGTTTGTTTGTATAGGTCTAAAGATACTCAAGTTTATTTGTTCAATGTGAGCACGAGGGAGATTAAGGCCTTGCCTTTCTCTGTGGAAGGCGTGAAGAAGAATACAATGGATCCTAGATTGTATTTGGGATTTGATAAGGTAGCGGAAAAATACAAGTTGCTCCATATTATTTGGGAAAGGGAACCCCGAAGAATGATGAAGCATACGATTCTAACTCTAGGAACCAATTCGTGGAGATCAATCACTATTCCCAGAGATTGTTTTATGACTTATGCAAGACATATTTACCTTGACGGCTTTCTTTATGGAGTTGATACTTTTACCTACTTCAATTTTACAGAGGAGAAGTTCGACAATCTTCCACACAAACAACTTTGTAAGTGTAGACTCAGTTTGAATGTGATGCAAACTGCATTACGGGGAAAACTGGTTGTGCATTGCGGAAGGGGACGTGCAAATGCCAATTTGATATGCAATGACCTTAAAAAGGATTTTACGAAATTTGTGGATTATTCCGATATTTCAGAGAAAGTTATCACTCTTGAAACATACAGGATTGACAGGCCGACAGAGCCCCTGGACGCTGTTTTAGCAACAGCTAGCATTATTGGTGCCCCAACTTCTTTACTGCACCCTGATCTATTCATAATAGCACATGTCAGCAGTTTCGTCGACAACATTATCCCATTAACGTCTTTATTTTGAAAAGTTTTTTAGTTTTTTTCTTTTACTTAATTGTAGGCATATGTTGGATTTCATAGTTGTCATAGCCACAAGAATGACTATTGTAATGAATAGAGAAAGTTGATTATTGGTGAAACTCATTTGGACTTCTACCACCAGCTAAACTTTGGGCCTAAACGTTTTGGGCTTAAGCATACACTCAGATCCAATAAACAAATCTGTACATATCATTAGGTCTTGCAACGTTTCTTTTATTTCTTGTATTTATTTTGTTTGTTAGAAATAGGTCAATTAGAAATAGACACCTGTCTAGTTTTTAAAAATATTTAGCCTTCTTTTTAGAAGGATGAGTTCTAATATATTCAGTCTTTTAATTCCTTTTTGATTTAGGTAAAACTTAGTAGGATCAAACTTTTTATGGAAAATAATTACTTATGAAATAGTAATCCAACAATACAAATATTTGAAAATTTGCCAACCCTATATAACTTTATGGGAATATTTAAGTAGTAGGGCAAATTTTCTTA